CTGATAAAACTCTCCAGTCTTTTATTGATAATATGGAGGAGAATTTTACTGGCATGCGAGATTATGGAGATAGTCCTGTAGTTCTCACATTTGCGCGTGGAGCCTTTTTTATGGAGAGGAATTAATATTGATTCCGTCCAGTCTTCAGGCCACTGGCCAGTACGCCATACTTTCTGGCAAATGGAGTGTAAAATCTTGGTACCATCCAAGCCTAGGCTCTTTAACATTAGAGCGGTTACGCTGTCCCTTCCGCATGCTTTTTGCTTCAGCCTATTGATTGCTGCCTCAACTTCTTGAAGAAGGATATCTGGCTCATGTTGGTTATAGTCCACCCTTTCTTCGATATCATTGCAGCCCTTTTCGCAATATAGCTGTTCGCTGTATCTCCTCCATCTGTCTAGCGCAGCCTGCCTGTCAATGATGAGGTTACCACGGTCGTCCTCGATAGTCCAGGTTTTCAGCTTGTACTCTTTGGCCAACAGCTTCACTCTGCGGAACATGTCCTTAGAATGCATGCGTTCAGAATCCCTTTGAGTGTCATCGCAGACAGCATTTATATAGGCATCTCTGTCACGTCTGCAAAGTCTTTGGACTTCATGATGCAGCAGTCTGTACTCATGCTTATCTGCGTCAGTCGTGAGACCATCCTCCTTTCGGGCTTTTCTTCTGACGATAGCTGACCATGTTTCTTCGGACATCCAAGGTGATTTAGGGTGTTCTATTGCTTGTGTTCCGACGACTTCGCTCGCTGTCTGCAAGGTTACCTGTTTCAACTGTTCCCAGGTAACATTTGCAGAGTCGAAGGGATCTATGGCAAAATCACGCAACCGCACCTTAATGGCATTGGCAAACAACTCCTGTCCTCGACCCGATATGTCCACCACCTTCCTAGGTTTCTGCTGTTTGATTGACTTAAGACGGATTTTAACTTTTGCAACAAGTAGTTGGTGGTCACTGCCACAATCTGCACCTGGTCTCGTCTTAACATTCAGGACAGATGATTTCCATCGTTTTCCTATCATGACATAGTCAATCTGGTTTCTATGTTGACCGTTAGGGGAGATCCATGTATACAACCTTCGACGATGATGCTGGAAGTGAGTTTTCATGATTGAAACATTGTTTTCCGCACAGAAGTCGAGGAGTAACTGCCCTCGCTCGTTACGAGTCCCTAGCCCGAATTTCCCGACTATGCCACGAACATGGTCATCCATTAGCGTATTGCCTATCTTGGCATTGAGATCTCCCATGAGAATTGTGACTTCCTTCTTTGGGATATCTTGGTAGACTTTCCCCAAGCTGTTGTAGAAAGAGTCTATTTCATCCTGGTTTGAATTCGAGGTCGGTGCATATACTTGTACGATGTTGATGGGATAAGGGTGGGCAGATAGTTTTAGTGCAATGATTCTGTCATTGACTGCATTGTACCCGATCATCCTGGCACGCATTCTCTTTGATACTAGAAACCCAACGCCGCTGAAGCTATTTTCTGGATTACCTGCACTGAGTCTCAGCTTACCCGATGCCATGACAAGATGACCGGACTCTCTTAGGTGAGTCTCACTTAAGCCCATCACATCCAGGTCACAACTTTCCATCTCTCTGCAAACTATTTCGATTTTCCCAGGTCTCAAGAGTCCGCGAATATTCCAGGTGCCAACATTAAGGATTTGTTTATGGCCTAATCGCCCTGTGGTACTAGTATTTGAGTCAATAGTAACCCAATTTCTATAAGCAGCCTGATAACGCACTGGCTTATAGCCGGTAACCAACTTCACACCAGGAGACCCGGACTCGTCCTGGCGCCGAGAGTCAGTCGGAGCGCTCGACATACTAAACTTCCTTTTGACTTTTCTCATGGTGGTTTTCTTGGGAAAAATAGTAACGGTAGCTTCCCATTCCTTTCCGTCCCAGAACTTTTTAGAGGGGATTTAGCCCCCTAGGCCGCTACAGCCTCATCCAGCTGATTGTCCAGCTGGGGATATGGTTATCCCGCCACTGTTCGGTCGCCATTGCCTCGTCCGATGTCTAGCAGGGAGCACCACGACTACTAGTCGTCGCAGTCGCGCGTGCAGGTGAGGTTGACATTTGGGGCCGTATCGATGGTAATTACGTTCACCCCCTTACTCCCTTACCAACACCTGTCTGTTGCGAAATACGTTGGCAGGCTTCAATTGAAATGAATTAAAATGAAATCAATTGAATTGAAATCAATTGAAAGGGCGTAAAGTACATTTCGACGGCAAAAAGCAAACCTGCTGTAACCCACATCAGTCACGATTTTTTTTTATTTCATATTTGGAATCAGAAAAAAAAACTCAGTCGAATGGTTCTATTCCCGTGGCTCAACGACGATTAGAAATTTTTGTACAGCAATAGAATTAATCCTATTTTTTCAAAAAGACAACTGGTTACTTGAAGTAAATAACATGAAA